CCAACGACAGGGTCAGACCCTTCGGCCCACTCGCACAGACCTTGTTAAAGACATTCGTCAGCCCATTCGTTTCGCAGTGCTCAAAGCGCCCCCCTCCCCAAGAAACAAAAAAACGATCTGCGGAGGGGCGTTGAGATCCAGCTGGTCAGCCACACGGTAATGCGATGCGCGATGCGCTTGGCCTGTGTTTCCCCCTCCCACCCCCCCTGGATTGGGCAAAGGTGCGGCGGCGCCCACGTCCTCCTCCTCCTCCTCCTCCTCCTCCTCCTCCTCCTCTTCCTCCTCCTCCTCTCAATTCACCTCCTCGTGCTCCGTCCCCACCGCCCAGGTCTGCTGCCTGGCTGGGGGCCCAGGGGCTACGCCGACGCAGCCCAAAGAGGGACAGGCGACTGGTCAGGACATGCTGACCGCCTGCTTCACTCCCAGACATCCGCCGATGTGACTCGTTCAATCCGCGGCCCCAAAAGTCCCACCCCTTTCCCCGGGAGTGTTTTTTCGTCCCGGACCTACGTTTGATGGTCCCCGGGCCCGGTAAGGGGCCCTGGAGGCCGAAATCCAGGAAAAAACGCCAGATTGAAAACAACAATTACATATCCTCGGACCTCTGGGTAACCGAACCAAGCGAAGTTCGTCCTCCAAACTTTCATCTTAGCTGTCCCATATCATCTGCACCAGGTGGCCAGCTGGCCCTGAGCTGGCCTCGGAACCAGAGAGGAGGGGCACAGTGGGACCCAGGAGAGAATAGCAACCTCCAAGAGCACGAGACCCTCCGCCGGCCAGAACGCACAGAACATGCGAGGGTATACCCCCCCAGGATGCACAAGAGAATCCAGCACACACGAAGAACATGAGGGCACCTTCCCCGAACCGACCTCGACCTTATACCCCACAGATCCGATGTCGTGTTTTTTTCGATACGGGGTCTCCGGAAGTCTCGACCCATTCCCCAGGACCGGTTACTCATCCCGAGTCGTTTTGTTGACGGTCCCCGGGCCCGGCGAGGGTCGCTAGAGGCCGAACATCGAGAAAAACCTCCGTCTTGATTCTTTCAATGCGTTGGAGGTCTGGGACCTCAGCCAGACGGTGCCAGCAGCGGCAGAGGAGCAGGAGGCACGGGAGAGCGGGCGGAGGCGAGGGCGGCAGCCCCAGAGGAGCGGTAGCAGCAGCAGCAGCAGCATGGCGAATGCAGAGTGCAGCGGCTGACCCTCCTGCGGAGGGCTCCCCCCCAGAAATCCGCCGTCGTTGGTGGTTTCTGTTTGCCACACCAACGAGGGTAGTGGAGGGGCGAGGTGGTCCTTCTCTCCCTCCTTCCTTCCTCACCTCTCCTGGGCTCTCCTCCTCCTCCTCTTCCTCCTCCTCCTCCTCCTCCTCTTACTCCTCCTCTTCGTCCTCCTCCTCCTCCTCCTTCTCCTCGTCCTCCTCCTCGTCCTCCTCCTCCTTCCCCACTCCAGCTTATGGTGGCGGTGGTGGACAACAGGCCCACCAGTCGTGGCGTCCTGGGAGAAGCCCGGGGCCCTGCAGAACTCTCGACCCCGGCCACCCTTTCGTCCCGGACCGCTTCCGCTGGCCCCCGGACCCCGGAGGCGGCCGCCGGGCGCCGAGCACATGGCGGGAGGCCTGCGCACCGACTCGCTCGAGGCGCGGGAGAATGGAGGCTCTCTGGGACACTGGCGGCAGACGGGCCCCTGGAAACAAAAAGGCACCGGCCGGCGGGCCGCGGCCCATGGGAAGGAAGAGCCTGTTTTTTTTGGGACTCGGGCAAGTTTACTTGCATGGCGTTCGCCCCCCCCCCCACCCCCACCCCCTCGCCCCTCTTCAAGCGAATACTAGCGTGCAAGTGCCTTTCGACTTGCGTGATTTCCGCGCCCCCCCGAACGTGCAAGTCGTTTGCGGCTTGCTTCAGGCTCAGCCCCCCCCCGTCCATGCAAGTAAACTTGCCAGAGTCTAAGAAAAAACAAGCTCAAGGAAGCGGGTCCTGGAGGAGAGAGGGCCGCAGACGCGTCTCGCAGCTGCTCCGCCCTCCTGACGGCCATCCGCGGGCACCAGGGCCGTCCACGGCTGGGGACTCGGGGTGCAGAGCTGGCCCCGGGAAGAAGCCGCGGGGCCTACAGGACCCACGTCCTTCCCAGACCCCCTCGAGTAATGAAAAAATCACGACGGGATGTCTTTCCTAATTTTCGGCCTCCGGGGGCCCTCACCGGGCCTCGGGAGCGTCAAAAAACGACTCAGGATGCAAAGCCGGTCATGGGGAAAGGGTCCAGACCTCTGGGGGTCGACGTAATGAAAAAATCATTACGTCGGGGGTCTGGGTTCATGGCCATCCAGCGCGCTCACCACCCGCCGCGCCGGCCGCCGGAAGCCGGCTGCGGGCCTGGCCTCACCCCCCTCCCTCTGGCGCGCGCGCTGCCCCCTCCCCTGCGCGCGCCACGTTGGCATTGGAGCTGCCCCCGGGGCCGAGCGTGGCCAGCGCCACCTCCGCCATCTGCGGCGGAGGCCCCCGAGCGCTGGCGGATCGGGGCCCGCCAGACGGGGACCGTGACAGGCCAGGACGCGAGGACCCGCCCGAGGAGAACTGCAGCCGTGGACCGGGCCGAAGCAGTCCCCAAACACCCGGCGGTGAGATTTTACCGTTCGCGGCCCCGGAGGTCCCGACCCCTTCCCCAGGAGTCGCTTCTCGCCCCGAATCCTTCCTTTCGTGGCCCCGAAGCCCGATCAAAAGGGGCCCCTGCAGGTGCCCAGATCGAAGAGAAACGACGTCCGGAATGAGATCACTCAGAGCAGTGCCGTCGGGACTCCGGGCCTCAGCTCGGCGGCGAGCGAGGGGGGCAAGCGTGAACAAGGAGAAGGCCTTCTCGAAGGCGGCGGGGCTTATCAGAGGCGCTCCGGCCTTCTGAGAGGTGTTTCACGTCCCCTGAGATCCTGGCGTTGCAATTTCTTCGCACCGGGCGTGCTCGCTCAATCTCGGGCCCCGGGACCCTCACAGATCGATCGCGGGCTCGAAACATGACGCAGAAAGATGGGGTCCGGGGCTCCGGTCGTGTCTTGTCTTGCGATGCTGCATTTTTGCTGCAACGTCGGATCTCAGGGTCTTCGGGAAAAGTTGGCACGCTTCTCCGAGGCATGGCCCTTTCTCGCTCCCCCCCGCAGCTCGCCGCCGATCCGCCCTCCGCCCTCTCCCGCCGGGATCTGGCAGGGTCCTGGCCTGCAGTGTCCCGGTGTCCCGGGGGGCCCCGAGCGGATCCGGAGGGTGGGGAGGCCAAGAAAGGCGCCGATATGCCGCGCTACTCCCCGGAGCCCTCCCGGGGTGCCCTCCGACCAGAACTCCGAGGCGAAGCCAACGGTGACGAGGAGGGCCTCCAGGGAGGCTCGAGGAAGAGGCGGGCGGGCGGAGTGTAGCGGTATACTGGTACCTCTTCCTCCTCCCTCCTCTGCGAGGGGGGGGGGGGGCGCGGGCGCAGGGCCTGTGGGCGGCGGCGGCGGCGCAGAGCGGCAGGGGCTAACCGCTGCGGGGTTCCGTTCTGTGTGCGCCGCCTGGCTGCCACGCAGCCCGCCGCACGCAGCGCGTGGCGTGGGAGCGCCGAGCTCCACACGCGGAGATTGAGAGCGCAGGTCGGGCGCGAGACGCTCGCCGCAACGTGGGCCAGCACCGAAGGGGCCCTGGGACACGCAAATAAATGCACACACATGACCGGATTCGCCAGGTGTTCCTACATTTTCTGGGTGTCCGTCTTCCCCCCCACTCCCCATATTTTCCCGCAGTTTCTGGGAATCGACGATTCATTGTGTCTGTGTGTCTCTCCCCTCCCTAAGCACGTGCCGAGCCAACACGCACCGTGCTCAGCCCAGACCGTCTGCACACGGCACTCGTCGCGATGCCGCGCGGACGTGCGCTGCCGGGCCCGCCCGTCGCGCTGCGGGCCGCTCTTTCGGAGCCGTGGCGCGCGGTCTGCGCCACAGGGCGGCGGGTACCCCGGCCCCAGCGCAAAGACGTCGTGCTACCACGAGGAACGCCCGGTGAGGACCGAACAACATGTTCTGGCCACGACGAGCCTCGTCCACGGAGAGGATCCCCGACCGCTAGAAACAACGACCTGAAAACCGGAGCCCCTCCTACGCCCAAAGCGGTCCTTCTTCCAGCGTCTTGCCTGCGTCCAGATGAAACAAGACGGAGATCGCCACCGTGACGACAGGCACTGAATGGAGTGTCCTCAGGTCCCCAAAATACTCCCCGTCATCAGTACTGATTACTCTCAACACTATTTCAGGGGCCGAGACACCCAATTCACGGGTTCTCAGGGCCGAGTCTCAGGGGTGTGTCGGGTGATGCTTGGAGCGTGCCGCATGGCTTTGGGGGCTTCCCGCGTGAGTTATCCTGAGGCCACAAGGCCGCAAGACGGGCCAAGAGGGTCCCAAGAGGCCCCAGAGACGGCCTTCGAGGCCCCCGAGACGGCCTTCGAGGCCCCCGAGACAGCCCAAGAGAGCTCCCAGAAGGCCCAAGATAACCTCAAGACGGTCCAATGCCATCCCCCCGACGCCACAAGATGGTTCCAAGAGGACCCCGAAGAGGGCCCCCGAGGCACAAATCTTTGATGTTACATTGCTTGTCATGCTTAAGCTTTTAGTGTGTTCGCCGTTCTCGGGTTCCAATGTGCTAAGACGGCCCAAGAAGCTCCCAAGATCCGCCAGAGACGGCCCAAGGGGCCCCAGAGATCGCTCCGGGACCGCCCAAGAGGGCCATCAGACGGCCCAAGAGGCCCCAACGACGGCCCGATAACCTCCTCAGAGAAGCCCAGGAGGGGGAACGCGAAGGAGCCTCGTGAGCCTTTCTCCAAGATGCGTGGCCTCTAAGATCCCCAACACGCTCCCAACTGCCCCCCAGAAGGCGCCCAAGCGGCGCCCAGGCGGCGCCCAGGCGGCTTCCAAAAGATCCTCTGGGAGGCCACGAAGAGGAGCCCCCACGGCTGCCAGAGGCCCCTGGGAGGCACCCGATCAGCACCCCAGGGGAACCCACAAGCATCCAGGAGGCCTCTGGCCCACAACCCAAGAGTACGGTGACGGGGTGGCCCTAAGGCCGCAAAAAATCATCGCATTTTTCAGGGGCGCACCACGGTCACCTGGAGCCGCGGCCGTAGCGGTCACTCTGCAGAACACGAGCTGGACGAATTTCCGATCGCAACCGCCGTTCGCTCCAGCAAGTGAAGCGCCATCCCGAACTCCCGCAGGCTGAACCTCCAATTCACTGGCATGAGTGGTTCGACAGTGTGCCTCTGAAAGCAAGCCTGCACATGGTCTTCACCCATTGTGTTCCGACAGTAGAACTTCTCGTCCACAGTGGTGCATGCAGCATGCTGCCTGCTGTAGATGCACCCTGGTTGCTTCCCTTCATGATAACAGTACGCGCACGACTCGTCCTTCAGGTCGCTGACAAGCAACAAGGTGGGTCTGCCGAAACTGCACGCCAACGCAGGGGGCCGTGTCGAGTTACCGGTGATTGCGTCCTTGCTACAGTCTAGGATGCCAGCGTTTGGAAATCCATTCACTATGCTCGACCGCTTGAAAATAGCCGTCGCGACAGGGCAGCTCTCGCAGACGTGACTCTTCTTCTGGGACGTGGTGACCAGCCATAGCTGAGGGGATCTGCCATCCGCACGTAGTCCCTCAAGAGCGTCCGTTGCCACAGGCAGGTCGTAAGGGTCCACGATGAAGGACCGAGCAAACTTCACCAGCGCCTCCCCCGTCAAACCGGATGACTCATCATACTTCACCGAGATCCCCTCGAACGGCACTATGAGGAACAGATCGGACGCCCCTCTCTGGGGAATATCAGAATTAATCTTCCCGCACACGCTTGTCATCTCCAGCTGGCCCGCGAGGGGCCTCCAGTCATAGCAGTCGATGGCGCCGAAGTGCATGGACCCGCTCAGCTCGCTCGCGGCGCGGATGAATGAGACACCCTTCTTGTGGCTCGTCCCCCAGTGGACACCGTCGTAGCCATTGAACATGTGAATAAGCCACGTGTCACGGCTCCCCCCCGCGAAGACGAGGGAGACGACTGTGCTCCTGGTCAGCCGTGTCACGCGGTCGGTCGTCTCGTACGGGTGCTTCTGTATCCTGCGGCTGTTCTTTCGCTGTATGGCCACCCTTCTTTTGTTCGGTTCCCTAATTATCTCCCAGGCGGCCTGGATATCTCTGAACTTGGCAGTGGTGTCCTCGCTGCCCTTATGTTTGTCCGGGTGGTACCTCTTCACAAGATCCTTGTACCTTCTCTTCGTCAGCTGCTCGCTGTCGCTCACGTCCAGCCCCAGAACGCACCACGGGTCCAACTCCTGCCTATCGCCAAATTGGTGCAAGCAAGCATTCCGGCACTCATTGTCGGCGCCGTACGAATCAAACTTCCATGAATGCCAGCCCTGCGCCTGTCTGGCATCGTGATTGAAAACGGATTTGAACCATACCGTTACGCGCTGTTTAGGTTTCTTCTGCTTGGACTGATACGTGAAGCCAGCACAAGCCTGGTCACTGGCGCAGATCTGCGAGGCCTCTGCAAACGTGGCCAGCATCGAATCTCTGATGTCTGCACCTCTCTGGAGATTGCCCTTCGCATACGTCTTGAAGCTAATCTTGCGACCAATTCCCAGATCAGACCAATTACCGCCTGAGGCGGTCAGAGTATTGGCAAGCAAGTGGGGACAATCGTTGTGACTGCGCATCGAACCATCTTCGTCCAAAGCTACCCATGCCAAAAACGGAAAATGTGACAGAATCACCTGCACGCCCTTCTTCGGAAGATGCGGCCCAATGATAACAAGTGTCTTCGAACCTGTGACCCTCGCCGAAGTGTATGGCCACCTGTGTGGTGCAGCTCCCTCTGCCTGCGGGGTTATGATGCCGCCCGGAGCTCCGAGAAATCATGGTGACGCATTTATTGGTCGTCCAGTTTCCTTCGGGACCCCCGTTTGCTCCATGGCAAGCTTGCTTAGAGGCCTCCCAGGTGGGGTCCGTGCAGATGGGGTCGGACGATCGCGTCGCATCGTCGATGCATCACAGCTGCATCGGCGATACATCGGCGACGTCGGCGTGGACATAAATCTTGCTCCACATCGATCCGCATCGCCGATGCATCGGGGATGCGGCGCGAACCTTCGACCTCATCTACAATAAAACCCCATAGTAAGGATGCAAGGTGAGGATGCAAGACCCGTAGAAGTCCCCTTTACCATTTAGAGCTCCTTGGACTGACCCAGGATGCCGAAGAAACAGGAATGCAAGGGTAGCCTTGATGAAGCAGCGCGTACCTACAATGAACTCTGCCTAGACAACGACCACATTTGGGAAGCTAGACCCGAGGAGGAAGAGGAGGAGGCTTGAAGGCGGCTGCGGGGTCCATCTGGCGCAATTAATGACCCCGATCCGTGTCTGACGATCCTCGCAATAAGCCTTCAACGCGCCCCTCCCATAGTGGGCAACTCCGGGGTCCAATTGAGGGCTGGCGACGACCAA